TGGCGCCCTTTTCTTGTTCTGCTTTCTAGTCACCATGAACCAAGCAGCTTTTTCTGCCACCCCCTTCTGCCACGATGTTTTTGCCTTGGAGCCAGCTGACCATGAACTGAATCTCCAGAAACACTGAGCTGAATTAAACCTTTCCTCCTGTAAGTGCTGAGTGTACAGTATAGGCTCTCAGTGACGTGAAAGCTGGATGACGCAGCCGGTATCTCAGACACCACCCCCCTTTCCTTTGGCACCAAGTCTCTCTGATTTCTGTGACTTAGGGGGACCTCAGCCAGATCCAGGTCAGGGAGGTGCCCAGTGTGGGCCCCAGGTGGCAGCCACTGAGTGGGGAGGATAGAAGAAAGCGCCCTCCAGAGATGCCAGGTGAGGACAGGTGTGGCTAGGCACAGGCACCTGTGTGAGGCTGAGGCTCGGAAGTGATCAGCGGTCAGGGAGTCTGTGATGCTGAGGCACTGCGGGCCAGGCTCAGGGTCCCGGGCTGTGGTGACTGCTCAGGTCTGCCTGTCTGGGTCAGAGCAGCCTCTGCCAAACATTTTCCCTGGGAAACGTTCGAGCATTGCTGGCCTGTGTCTTTGGAAGATGGCCCTGTCAGGAGCTTGGTCTGGTTTGGATACCAAGCATTTGGTCCTCTCCCTGACACACATTTCTGAAAGCCAGCCATTTCCTCTATGGCTGGATGCCTGGAGAGCCACCTTACTGGGCGTTAGGGCCGCATGTCCAGCCCTGGCCGAGGGTAAGTGCTCGCTCAGTGACCCCTTGGGGTTTTTCCTTTTGTTTTCTGAAGCAGGCATGTGTGTCCTAGCAGCCCAGGGCATTGTCACCATGTCTGTGCAACTTGTGTTCTCTAGGACCTGTCACCAGCACATGTCACTGTGATCTGGCGTGTCCCACAGCACACTACTGGACTGGGTGCATGTGGGAGCTCGAGGACGTGGGCGTTCATGGTGTATGGCTCAGTCAGGCCCTTGGGACCTGTGCTAATCAACGGCAGCGGCGCTTCCAGGAGTGATGGTGAGGCAGGAGGGTTGGGCAGAGAGCGGAGAGAGGCAAAGGTCTGCCTGCAGAGGGAACGGGCTCCACACGCTGAGCTCCTGGGCAGGCTGCCAGCGCTCCTCACCGAGCAGGTGGCCCCAAGCCAGGCTGGCCCTCCAGGCTGGAGCCAGAGCATACTCACCGGTCTGTGGTCCTGCACAGCTGGCCGCTGGAAATAGAAAGCAGCACTCAGAGAGGTTTCCACAGCCCCTCAGGGTGTACAGCAGAGGCAGGAAGAGTCCTGCAGGACAGTCATCGTGCACAGCCACTGCCTTCCAGGGCCTTCTGCAGAGCACCCGGGACAGGAGCAAGGCAGCGTCTCCACACTGCCCGTGTCACAAATGAGGAAGCTGAGACGGGAGGGCCCAGGTGTCAGGCTTCCACTCCTCCCTAGAAAAGACTAGGCCACAGAGCAGCCTCCCTGTGCAGATCCAGTGACTGCACCGCCTGTCCTCGGAGGTAGCACAGCCTTGGGGAAGAGCATTCTAGCCTTCCTGAGCCAGCTGCTTCAGCCGCCACTTGTTTCTTGCAGAAAAGCAATGCCGCAGTGTTTGTTTTTTCTCTTCTTTCCCTGTCTAAAGCTGTGTTGCCTCAGGGGGGCCTCTTAACCGCCCTGGGCCTCAGGCTCTGTTTTCAGTGAAACTTCCGGGTACCCACCACAGTGACAAGTAGGGCTGGGAGGCTGGAAGGAACAAGGCTCCTTAGACTCCTGGTGTGGGTGGTTTTTGCCATAGTCCAGTTTGGTGAGCACCATGCTATACCCCAAGGTGGGCACCTGGAGAAGCCTGTCTTCTGCTGAGCTCAGCCACTGGGCTCCACACCTGTGCCCGGTGCAAGCGGCCTCGCCTGAGGAGGGCGGTCACCACTTCCTTGACGGTGAGGACTGAAAGGACCCAGCGGAGCAGGATGTCGAGTCTACCCCTGTGCAGGGGTCGGATGGGGACGTGTCTAGAAGGCATTTGGGGTCCCCAGATAAACCTGCCATGCCCATTTCACCGAGGAGGTCAGTGCGAGCAGCCAGGGAGCCACACTTGTGGCGGGGTCTGTTGGGGACCTCGAATTATAAGCTGAGTCTAGGGAAGTCCAAAGCTTGTCCTTATTTTGCCCTTTGGGCCAGATTGGAAGGAGGAAACGCCCCACTCTTCCTGTCACAGCTGGAAGCCCTAGGGCTAGTGACTGCTGTGGTGCTCACAGGGCAAGACAAGACCTGCTAAGGACGAGAAGGCCCCTGGGGGACTGCAGTCTCCTCTTACTCCTGTCTGGTCCTTGTCCTTGCAACAATGCTTTGTTCTTTCTCCCAGCCCACCCGAAGTGCCCGTAACGGTCCCAGAAACACCCACTGCCCTTCACCCACTGACCTTGACTCAGATGTAATGAATAAATACCAAGGTTCTAGGTGCCTCGTGGCCATTTGTTTCCTGAGAATAACTGGTCATCCCAGACCCCTTCCTGCACCTCTATTTCATCTCTTGCTCTTTTGGGCAGGAGACTGGGGACTCACTGCAGGGGTGCCTGACAAAGGCACCATGGAAAGGGTCTCCAATACAGGTCCTCACCGTGGGCAGGACCCTGAAAGCATTGTGGGCCTACACCCCTGGCCAGTGAGACCTGCCAGTGTGGCTTAGGCCCAGGCCCACCAGGACCATCCTGTAGGATCCAAGCAGTGGTCTCCCAGCCTGGCTCCTGCTGATCTGTCCATGGTGTGCATCACCCTCTCGCTTTGGGTACCCTCTCTCCCTTGGTCCTGGGAGAAGCCCAGGGCTCCCATGAGAAATAATGGAAGCTCAGATGATTCATTCCACAATCCAAAAATATTCATATAAAAGGAATTATAAAACTGTACCATAATACAAAATATAAAGAAAAATAAGCAAATTGGCCTGCAATTATCTTTGAGAACCTTCAGGGCTGGTGTGAGGGAGACAAGAGAGAGGAGGGCTATTGCACAGGACAATTTTCACTGTCACTGATGGAATCACGGCTACCTGTTGGCTCAGTGGAATCTGCTTCTTTTCGTGCAGCTTTAACAAGAAACCTATCCGGTGACACTTGCTTTCGCCTCCTTTTTGAAGATTTTGAGGAAATGTAACGTTGCATTATTTTTAACCAGAGTCATTGCTTGCACTGCTACTGCCTTATTCAGGTGGTGCTTTTCTACAAAATTTTGTACTGTTTCCTACATGTTACACATTTCCCTAATCTCATTTGACGTGAGGGATTCTGCTGCCTTTTTCTCCTCTTCTGCAGATGAGCTCTCCTGCATAATCTCTTGCTGTTGGGAGATGATTACCCACCATCCTGCAGGGAGGGGAGGGAGGGAGGACAGGAAGGACAGAGAGAGAGAGGGAGAACAACTGGCTCAGTTGTGATCATGTGATGCTTGGCATCATGTACTACTCATATGGCAAAATATCACTCATTTATCAAGAGAAAATTGGTCAGAAATGTTTGCGCTTCTTGTGGAACACTCACAGAACTAGTTACTTGCAATCTAAGCTTTTACTGTACAATGACACACATTATTTATTTTACAAAAATGATCTCACATTAAGGCTTCTGTCATCAAATTGGCTTTTCTGGTAAGGTATCATGTACACCTTTGAATATTTTAATACATAGTTTTACCTAATTCTTATATTGTATTGTTGAATTGTTTCCATTTTTTTACAATTATGAGCAGCATTGCACAGATATTCTTTTCATATATCCATGCTCAATTTGTGTGCATATTTCTGTAGCATAAATCTGTAGAAGTAGAATCACTACATCAAAAGCAATGAGTGTGAAGTATTTTGGAAGCTGTTGTTAAGCAGATCTTCACAGGACAGCTCAATGGGCAAGAGGCTTTTGGATCTCCAGCCTCAGCACCGGATCTCTGAGATTATGATGTGGGGAAAGCTTGCTCCCTCTGTCCATCTCTGCTGCTGCAAAATGGTGAAGTTAGGGCTTAAGCAGCAGCCCTTAAGCAGCAGCTGCTTAGAGCAGCAGCCTGGTCTGTGTGTCAGTCCCCAGGTCTGGGCTTAGCTGGGCAATGGCCCAGACTGCTTCAGGGTTGCAGGGACTGGTGGTCTATAGGGGTCTTGGGTGAGAAGGCATGGGCCTGGTGATGAGGCACTCGTTCTCAGCGGCAGATCCGCTGTACACATGTTCTTGCATTGCTTTTGCTGAGAGCGCATTAAGAGCCAGTTGCAGCAGGAGTGAGGTCAGGGAGGCCTGACCCTAAGGATGTATTATTCCAGCACCACCATCTATCACAGTGTGTTAAATTGCACTTATTATTGGTGAGTTTGTAGCAATTTCTCTATGATTATCACCTTTCCAGTGGCAGTTGATTGTTGCATTGCCTCTTAGCAACATGCAGGAGCCCTTTGTGTTTCCACATGTTCTATGCTAGGAGTCACATCCTCCTGTGAAACCCTCTCCAGTCACACAGGCTAGCCCCAGTCAGCAGGGAAACTCTGCACAGGGTGTGGGCAGGGCAGAGTCATCAGGTACCTCTGCAGTTGGCCAGCATAGACAGGCTGTGAACACTGACTGCTTTCCTCCTATGTAATTTACTGTCAGTCTTTAACAGGTCATTTCCTGAAGATTCATCTTTTTCTTTTAAATCTGTAGTCACTCACTTGTTTGGAGAAGAATTCCTGGGAACATTTGAGAACAGACATCAGAGAAGCATTTTTCTGAGTTTATTTATACTTGAGTAGTGATTATAGGTCCCCAGATAGTGTTCCCATGCCTTGTTTTACTTTATCCCTGGAACAAACACAGACAGGGAGATATCTGGGCCATTCCAGACTGGGGAAACTGAACCTCAGGTGAAACACTGATTTGCACAAGCTCGCAAAGGGAGGGAGCCCTTGAACCGTAATTGTCTCACAAATTGCCTGCTGACTGTTTGGATTTGGAGCCAAGCTCTGTATTTTCCTGGCTGTCTCAAGGTCTTCTCTCTTTTCCTTCAGGTATCTCCCCAAGAATACCTCAGCTTGGACATCCAGGGCTCTGGAACACCATCCCCAGCAATCAACTCCAGTGAGCCATCCCGGCAGACCCTGGCATCCCTGGTCCCCGGCCAGCAGCCTGGGAAGCGGAGGAGTGATCTACTGTGGATCCTGCTGAGGACACACACAAATCCTCTGCTCATTTCAGCTGTGCATTAATATAACATCGGCATGATATCCCATGTTGCAAAAGGAACCAGGCTGTGTGCCCCTGCTATGCCTTGGGTCAGGTGCTGTCATTCTGGCTAATGTCACAGGATGGTGACAGTGAGGACCCCTGAACCTGCCTTGCTCTGCAGCTGCCCAGGGGTGAGAGGTTGGGAACTTGCAGCCTCTGCAAGGTAGATTTGCCATGATGCCAAATGTCTAAACCTCTACTACATTCTCACACAGGGGACCTTTCTCAGGCTGTAGAGGAATTTTGTGCTCACTATGTGGAATTGTTTTTTCTTTACAAGGGAGCTTCCATGCTATGTAAGATTCAAAACTCTCCAAAACCTGAAACAACCTCTGCTTTCAGATAACAAAATCACTTTAGACTTTTTGTTGTTGTTGTTGTTGCTTGTTTTCTTCTGCCAGCCAGTGTCTAGAGTAGGGAAGGTAAATAATGACTAAATTCCTATTTTGTTTGTTAATTTTAGTCATTGGCTGGCCCTACCTAGAGAATAGAGTTGGGAGTGTTCTGAGGGCCTGTGCTCTGCAAGGGACAGATCAGAGGTGGATTTTCATGTCTGCTCTGGGCACCAGGGGAGAGAGAAGAGATGGACTGGAAGGGGCTGAGATGGGTGGAACAGATTAAATCCTGTGTATAGAAGCTGGCCGGAATGGAAAATAAAGGTAATTTCAATACAAGTCAATGAAGAAATGATTGTACCAACAAAATTCAATTGTGAATCTGCACTTGGGGTCTGATCTGGGTAGGCCACCCTCTTGCTGGGTGTGCAGTTGACTTTGACAGAGGATGGGTCAGTCAAGGCTGGCCCCTGGAGAAGGCCGGACTCTAGCTTACTTCTGGCTGGAAGTGAGAAGACTCCCTCTGGGAGTTAAGGCTTTACTGGACAGAATGGGACACAGTGGGGGTAGAGAGGACTGCAGTGGAGAGGGGGCTCTGGTTATAGCTCACATAGGGCTCGGATGGAGCTGCAGCCTGTATCTCTTTCTTCTTTACTGTGCTGCACTGGCACTGGAGTTAGGGGAGCCCTCAGAGATGAAGATGAAAAATAAGACTTTTGCCACAAATCTTACTTAAAAGGATCTCTGAAGGAAGTGTTTCAGACTGAAGGTAGCTGCAGGAAACCAGGACTCTTATTGTTAAAGAAAAGTAGCAGAAATGATGAATATCTGAGGAAGTATAACAGATCACTCTCTGGAATTCTTCAAAATATGTTTTATGAAATCAAACATTATGACTCTGCCTCCTGAGGTTCTGGTGTGTGTGGATACTCTAGCATGGAGGCTCACACAGGACAAGATTTCCATCCTACATGCAGGTGCTAATTCTAAACAGATTGCAGAGAGCTTAGTACCTGCATTATAATCTCTAGCAAACTACTACTAATATTAACCAAAGAGGTATGGAAAATCAAAGTAAATAAATTAAGATGGAAGTATAGAATATATTGAAAGAAAGAAACCAAGAGAGGAGAAGCAGGACAAAAATCCAAGGAACAAACAGAAAGCATAATAAACTAGCAGGACTAAATCTGAAGGTTAAAAATTATGCTAAATGTGAATGATCAAAATACAACACCTAGAAGACAGAGATTAATAGAAGAGCAGAAAATATGACCCAACTACATGTTGCCTGCAAGAAACTCCTCTCAAATACAATTATGTGGATAGATTAAAAGTAAAAGGATAGCAATATGTACAATGCAAAACACTGAAAAGAAAGTATGAGTGACTATACTAATATTAGACAAAGTAGACTTAATGGCAAAGAAAACTTCTAGTAATAAAGAACATTGCATAATAATAAAAGAATCAGTTAACCAAGGAGAAATAATAATGCTAAATGCATGTGTACATAACTACAGAGTTTCAAAACACGTGAAATAATAATTGGCAGCACTTACAGAGAAATACACAAATGCCAATTTTAACTGGTGATTTAACTCTCCCATAAATAATTTATAGAACCAGTAAATAAAAAAATCTAACATTCATAAAGTACTCCACTGAACAACAGAAAGCTCATTATGTTTAATGCACATGGAACATTAGCTAAAATGGCCATGATCTAAACTAAGAACAAATCTTAAAACATGGAAAAAGTAGAAAGTTTGCCAAATACATTATTTAGCCATAATGCTGTATCAATATCAATAACAAAGATATAGATGAAAGCAATCAACACCTTTTTACCAGTCACTTTCCTGTTGCTGAAATGTAGTACCTGACAACCACAAGCTAAAGGTTTAACTTGACTAGCAGTTCAGAGAATTCAGTTCACTGAATAGGCATGGTGCAAAGACATGGTGGAGGAAAGGTGCTCGCCTCACTGCATCCAAGAAGCAGAGAGAGCTAGAGGGACTAGGGGTGGGGGGAAAGTAGGCCCACTCGGTCCTAATCCAGAGTTGTCCTGGGGACATTAGCCATGGCATGAAAAGGTGTATAAGTGGAAAAGAAGAAGCAGTACTCTTCCTTCTCATGCATACCCTGATCCTCCACATACAATATCCCAAGAAGCAACAAAAACTCTAGAACTAATGTGTGAGTTCATCAAGTTTGTAGGACACAAGACCAACATATGAAATCAGTCCCATATAATAAAATAAAAATCAATTCTATGTAATAGTAACAAACAGCCAGGCGTGGTGGCACAAGCATGTAATCCCAGGCCTCAGAAGGTTGAGGCAGGAGGATCGCTGTGAGTTTGAGGTCAGCCTGGGCTACAAAGTGAGTTCAAGGCCAATCCGAATACATAGTGAACCCTGTCTCAAAACAACAGCAACAACAAAACCCAAACAAACAATTGGCAATGGAAATTAAAATAAGAATATAATTTATAATATCACCAAAGAGAAATATTAGGTTATAAGTCTAACAATATCTATTTATTTATTTATTTTTTGGTTTTGGTTTTTCTCCGGTACCGGGAACCAAACTCACAACCTTGCGCTTGCCAGGCAGGCGCTTTGCCGCTGAGCTAAATCCCCAGCCCCAAGTCTAACAATATCATTATAGGATCTGTAGGTTAAAAACTATAAAATGCCGATGAACTCAGAAAAGACCCAGGTCTATAAAAAGACACGCCATTTTCATCATTGGAAAATTTAACACAGTAAAGATGCCAATTCTCTCCAAATTAACCTGTGTAATTAATGCAATTCAAATAAAAATGCCCTCAGGTTTTTTTTATATAGAATCTGATTCTAAAATTTATTGGAACAGAAAAAATATATAATAGCCCTAAACAATTTTAAAACAGAATAAAGTTGAATGAATCATCCTATCCAGTTGGAAAGGCTATACTCATTGAGACAGTCTCATACTTGCACAGAACAGAACAGGTAGCCCAGAAACAGCCCCACAGACAGGGCCAACTAACTTCGAACAGAGTTCAAAGGCAATCAGGGAATAATGGCTGGTTTTTTTGACAAGATTTTTGGAACAACTGGACAACTTTTTGCAAAAATATGAATGTTAAATCTTGAGCCTTATTAAAAAAACAATCAAAATATATCATAGACCAGAATATATGTACAATCTTTAGAAGAAAGTAAAATAAAAGTCTTCAAGATATGGCATTAGTAGTTCTTAAAACACACATCCAAAGTATAGTCTATAAAAACACTGATAAATTAGGCTTCATTAAATGGAAAACTTTTGTGAAAGAGAATGAAAAGACAAGTTATAGACTGGGAGAAAAAATTTACAAATCACATATCTGTAAAAGGGCTTATATCCAACATGTAACAATACTCAGAAATCAATAATAAGCAAAGAGCTCAGTTAAACAATGGGCAAAATATTTGTGCAGACACTTGTTCACCAAGAAGCTATACAGGTGGCAGATAAGCACACGGGAAGATGTTTTCCATCATTTGCCCATAGGGAAATGCAAATGGAAACCACGATGGGATGTAGACACCCGCTATGGAAAACAGCTCGGCGTCTCCTTTACGCATAGATGTGCCCATGTGCCTCCATACTTACTGTGGGAAGTAAAATCTTCTGCTCACTGGGACACCTGCATACAAATATGTACAGCAGCTGTATTCATAATGGGCAAAACCTGGAGTGAACTCAACTGCTCTTCAGCAGATGAATGGATAAACACTCAGGCACACCTGCGCCATGGGTTGCCACTCAGCAGTCAGGAGAAACCCTGTGGACAGAGCTCAAGGCATTTTGCTGGAGCAAAGAAGCCAGACTCTATGCCCCACCAGTAGCGTTCCATCTACAGAGCGTCCCCTGGAGACCAGCCAGAGAGAGAGACGGGTGGGAGGAAGAGAAGTTGTACTTGGCGCAGAGCTGGGTGCCCTGTGACCCAGCTCTGCTTGTGGTTGCTCAGGTCTGCACATGTTAAAGTTCACAAAACTGCACCTAGAAAGACCAATTCAACCGTCAACAACAATCCCACTCTGCAGCTGTTCTAGGACTAGTGCCAGGGCAGAACCTGTCCTACACGAGGGAGCGCGAGGCGTGGGCGAGGGCACTGGGCCAATCCAAGACACACTGGGAGGGCGGGGCCACACTGAAGGGGAGGTGCTTGGCTCCTGCGGACACCCCTTAGGTGGAAGAGCTGGGCTGGGGGAATGGCTCCGATGAATGGCTGCAGGCCCAGCTGTTCTGGGCATTTCCCGAGGCTCAAGGGGTCACAGAGGTGCTGGCCTTGCTCTTCTATATGGAAAGGGGCTCCCTATGCTCTATGGAGGAGCGGAGGTGGGCTGGGGTCCGCTGCCTTTGGAATGCTCTTCCTGCCCAGCTGGCCTGTCCGCTCAGCCTGGGTTCTGGACCTAGAAAGCCTCAAGCCCTGCAGCTGCAAGGGGGTGCCCAGCAGATTGAGGGCAGCTCACTGTAGGTTGTTAAATGGGGGAAACATTACGTTAATTTGACAGAAATAGTCTCTGAAGGGGAGTGTGCAGGGAAAATGCTCAGAAACTTGCAGTCAGTAGCTGCAGAGGGGCTGCAGCCAAGAACAAGGGTTTCCCCAGTGACCCCAAGCCCCGCCTCCAGGGTGACTACAGGAAGCACAGCAGCCTTTGGGCAGGGCCCACAGGAGGCCGCTGCTTGCAGGAAAAGCATTGAATGTTCCAGGTGCTGATTTGCATACTGTTTTGCACTTATTTACTGAGTTAAGAGTCTCCCTGGAAATCCCCAGTCTTCTTCCCTTCCTTCTCTGTCCTCTGGAACCTCAGCGGCAGCCCCAAGGCACAGCTTCTAGTGCCCTTCGAGCTGAGGCCGGGTGGCACAGCCATTGGCAGCACTGAACAGCAGTTCTGACATCTTGCTGGGACAAAGCAGCATACTCAGGAACAAGATGAAAACTAACTGCAGCATCCGTGTGACAGAGCTCCCCCACCACGGAATGGCACGCCC